AGGGGAACATACCTAAACCCGAGAGGCAGCCTAGAAAAAGGGCCTAAACCTTGGTCAGTGGATCCCTAGTAAGCTAAGAGAAGGCCCTCTACCCACAACCGCAGCTTTGGGTCTAAGGTTTAGAGTTTAGGGGTTTAGGGTTTTAGGGTTTTAGGGTTTAGGGTTTTTTAGGGGTTTAGGGTTTGGGGTTTAGGGTTTAGGGTCTACTGGGGATTGCTTACACCTAAAACACCAAAGCTACAGTCGAAGGGTTTGGTGTCAAGCACGAGGACACTGCATTGGAAGGGGAACCCTGCCTAAGCACGCGGTTTGGGTCTGGGGAATACCGACGGCCTAGACCCTAAATTCGGGGGTGGGCCTAGGGAACCCATCTAGACCCGGCAGTTGAGCAAAGTTCGAAGGTTTGGTGTCAAGGGAAGCGTACGTAAACCAGGCATGGGGCGAAACCCGCATGTCGAGGATTTGGTGTGGGTAGTTCTCGAAAATAGGGTCCCTTTTAGGGTCCCTTTAATAAGGGTGCCGTACTCTATTGGGGATCCTAATTTAGAGAAGTACTCCTCCAGAACTCGAGGTTTGGCGTCATTTAGGGTTTAGGGATACTCCAAATACACTTCCAAATAAAGACCCAACTTGCCGAGTTGCTGTGCACAGCGTTTCATCAACTGAGGCACCTGGTCATCCACCAATAAGGACCCTAATACTAAACTCTAGGCTGTATAAACCGCCTTAAAGCCTTAGGAGGGTTATTCAGCTTAAGACAACAACGACGCCATTTCAGAAATCCACCGTCTCATCGGCACTCAGAGAACGTGAAAACGTGGGATCGTCGAAGTGAACCCCGGCCATGCAAATGGCGTGTAGAAACTATGTTGTTCCTGCTACGCTGGGGATTTCAAGAAAGCAATAGGCGATCCTAGGTGCGACATGCAGGACTTCACAACCGCTGTAAAGCTCACTACCTGCCTCGGCAAGACTTTCTAGGATGAGAACTCCTTCTTTAGGTGAAGCCTCCTGCACCCCAAAGCTTTTGTGTAGGAGCCTCAAGACAAAGAGCCATTTTTTACAGCGCCTTGAGACAACTTTACTTCAGAGTTGTTCTTACACGATAAACATCTGGACTCAACACTCTTACCTCTCACGACTTCAAAGCACCTTGCAAAAAAGCCATACCCTAAAGCCTGGTTAAAGACTAAATCCAGAGACTCTGGCATCTCTTGCTTGTTGTATCCACGGTTCGTACTTGCACCAAGAGAACCCTGACTAAATGCTGCTTGAGCACGCTGAAGACTGATCTGTAGAGCCCCTAAAAGCCGCTAATTCACACCCTAGAAATTTTAGAACCCAGAACACATAAGTCACATCCCTGACTTTAGGCTACAGTCATAACAGCTTTCTTGAGCACGCGTAACATTGCAGTCTTCATCAAGGAGGCGGGGTTTTGCGTAGAAGTTCAAGGGTCTACAGTCCTCAACTGGGTAGTTCTCTATGCTAGCGTCCCTCTTGGAAGGGTGCCGTACTATATTGGGGACCTAACAAGGGACCCAAATTTAGAGAACTACCCTTACAATGTTCCAATCTAAGCCTAAGTTGAACTCTCGCCTCAGCAGTCTGGGAAGTACACGTAACTGCTGCAGCCACTGCCTGGGAGGCGCTTAGAAATCACGGGTTTGCGGTGCAGCATTCCAGTTGTGTTGTTGTCGATGCTGCTGTTGTCGTCGTGGGCTAGTTACAGTATTTTTCGTCTTGGTAGTGCTTCTCGTCGTTGTTATCGGTGGTAGTGCCGTTGCTGTTACTCTTGCAGTTTCTGACGTGACTAACCTTCTTGCTGTTGCTGCTGCTGTTGATGATGATGCTGCTACTTCTGCTTTCCTGGCTGTCATTACTATACTCTTGCTGCTGAGACAGCAGCGGCAGGGGACGCAGCAGCAGCAGCAGCAGCAGCCATCATTTGGGGATCGGCATCACCACCATCCGTGCTCGCATTCTTCTTCACCATCGACAGCATCCAATGCTTCACGTTGTTCTGGACTGCTGGTCGAGTTGCTGCACACTCGGCTTGGACCGCATTCTTGGCAGATTGGGGCTGGCGCCGCCTCCACGCGACGAAATCCTGGCAGAGGAGCCCCAAATTTTCGACCGTAAGCCGTGTCCGAAACCTGAATCTCCAAAACCCTCTACCCAAACTGCGGCGCTTAGGCTGACAGTGGCAGCACCCGCACACTTAGACGAGCAACCCTTATGGTGTGGTCTCTCTAAAGTTTCTAGAAAGACGCTGGACTAATGAGGACAGTCGTAACTGATCTCGTAGTCGGAGAAAGGAGATGCCTGAAGTCGGCGAGTGCATTCTTTGCACATCGGTGGAGAAAGAGTGTCTCAGGTGATGACTGTGACAAGCGATTGCCCGTCGGCTTTATTCAACATGCGGCCAGTTGTAGGAACTCCAAAATCCCAAAAGCCTACACATGAAATCCCTCAACTTTAAATTCTTTTAAGCCTAAGCCCCAGAGAGCCTGAGCTCGAACCGAACCCTAGCCTGGGGGTCCAAGCCCAGCGCCCTATTAAACCCGCCTCAAGTAAACCGGTTTAGGGTGTAGGGTTTGGCAACCCGCTGCGGGAATGTGGACAGATTAGCTTACATGACCAGTTTCCTAGGAGAGCTCATTGTTACTCTTCAGAATTGATCATCGCCAGGATTGTGCCACCCAAAAATAGCCAGGGGCCAGTGTGATTTTGATGAACGACGGAAGATGCCAGAAAATTCCACGCCTCCAGGTCGGTGGGACTGCCCCCCTCCTGGCATGTACAGATGAGAGGGGCGTTTGGACGGTACAATGCTTTAGCTTTGGGTAGCAGAAAGTTTGCCGGGGCTGTGGGTTTTTTTGTTTTGGTGCTCCAGGTTAAGGTTTGCACCACTTTAGGGTTGGAGTTTCAGGTATGTCCAGACCCACTACTAGCTCTTGCGTTTGCCCCGGTATATCTACTTTGTGAAACCTACATAACCTAGACTTAAGAGATCTCACACAATGCCCTTGCATCGTGTCTTGAAAGACCCTGCTGCTGCGATTTCCTGAGTGCAGATGCCAGATTTTTCTCAGGCAAACAAAAGGGCGCCATGCCGCAGAACCCCGAAACCAAAAGCTTTGATGGAAGGCTCGCAGGTAGACAGGTCTCAAGAGCTGTCGAGTACAACCCAATCGCAAGATACTACAGATAGGGTTCTGGGGCATATTATAGAATTATAATTGTATTCAGTTCTTTTCTAGCTACTGAGACCAAAGCCCAAGAGCTGTCGAGCACACCCCAATCGCAAGATACTATAGGGGCCTTAATTAGAACAGGCTTCTGAGATATATAATAGAAATATAATTGTGTTAAGGAGCCCTCAAGAAAACTATTGCTGATTATTCCGACGCCTCTGTTGCTCTAAGAACCGATCGTAAATCCTGGAAAAAAGGAGCTTTCGCGAAACCGCAAGTGACCACTCAAATGGTTTGGGGTTTGGTTGGTTTAGTGTATAAACAAAAGGTTCTCTGACTTGAGGTGACACATTGAGGCGTTCAAGACCGAACAAACCCCGATTGTTTTTCAGGACTTCCAGAACATCCACAAGTGGAGCTCGACCCTAAATCCCTGAAAACGTATGTCCCTTCTCCGACATCCTTGAAACCTGCTCTCCCAATCCATACTCCCGGATGCAATTCGCATCGCGCAACTATATACATGAACCCTGAACCCTAAACCCCCCCAAACACCTAGCATACACCCTGAAGCATCGAAACCAAAGCTAATTTCAGAAAACATGGCAAGATTGCAAGACCATCGAATCATGGTGAGCCTTGTGAAACCTAACAGAGGATTCGTGTAAGGTTTAGGGTTTAGGTATTTACAAGCCCAATAGAAACCGAACTTCATCAATGCTGCTTGGGGCACTGTGAGAGCGAGTTGTCCACAAGCGCCAGAAATATCTTGGCCCATCTCCCGTCTTACTCGGGTCCTGCGCAGCACAGTGGGGAGTTTTAGAGGCTTTGAAGTTCAGGGATTCGCTGTTTTGTGTTTTGGGTTTAGAGGTTTAGGGGTTTAAGGTTTAGGGGTTTTGGGGTTTAGGGCTTGGGGTTTTGTTTAGGGTTTAGGCTCTAGGAACCAGCGTCTTGGGTTGAAGCTTCAACTTCGCTCACTTGGCCGGGCAGTTTTGCAGGGGGTTTCTGTAAGAAGGCTTTGATTCACCTGCTTATCCCAGTGCTACTTCGGACGATATATGGCTACTTCGGCGTCATCCCGTAAACTCTGAACCCTGAACCCTACGGTTTGAAGTTTGAACCTACCCATAGGCCCCTAAGTAGTTCCTTTTTATGGTTTATATTTAGAATCCTATAAGGTAATCCCAAAAAGGAACTACTTAGGGGCCTATGGGGAAGCCTTAGCTCCTCTCATCGATTCTTCTTCTCATCAAGTATGTGAGAGATCCGAGGCCCCGCAACTAAAAGGACGAATTGCTGACATCTCTTGGGACAATCCCAACAAAGCCCGAACAGCAATTCATAAACCTCGAACTCAACAGTTCTCATCCGACACAGCCTCTGAAGCCTCTTTCCTGGCTTGCCTACCTTGTTTCGTCGAAGAGCCCTGAGCCCAAAAGCCCATTTTCCCAACGAAGCCCGTTAAAAGCTGGGGTGCCCCTTTCCCCGTATTCACCTTCAAAACGGAGGAGGGTGATGCTTGGGAATCTAGTAAGGCTTCGTCCAGTTCCACGGAAGTCATATCGCGTTTAAAACTCTATATAGAATAAGCCGGAGCCCGGAACACGCTGAGAACCTTCATAGACAACCAATTAACACCCGTTTGAAACCCATCCGTTTCGGGGTCCTGTTTATACGGGTGCAGAGCTAGTTTGGGGATCTGAGAAAGGGCCCTAATTTAGAGAACTACCCGACTACCCCTTTCAGGCCTGAGTAGAAGCCTTGGACTAAGAAAGGCAACCATGGATATGTTGCCCGGCGGTCATGATGCTGCAGTTCGCGAGGATTTGCTGAAAGCCTGGATCGGGCACAGGCTTGTTTTCGGGCTTCAGGCTGCAGAGCTTGACAAAGTGAGAGGTTTAAAGAAGATTCAGCAATTTAGGGTCAGCAACCCCGAATCGCAGCACAGTGGCGTTCCACGCGCTGATGCTGTGGCGCACGGAAGCCGTCCGGCATGGACGAGGCGCCAGGATTGTAGGGAATGAGATTCACCATGACCTGCTCCGGGTACAGTTTAGGGTTTAGGGCTTAGGGTATGTCATAAGGAGCGGCTTCGTATGGGTGGTAGGCATTTTGCAGGGCAGGGTTGGGGATATACTATATGGGGTCTTCTCAAAAACTCTGCATCCGTATACCAGGACAGAACCCTCAAAAAGAGCTTCTTCTCTCGATTCGCCTTGCGGGCTCGTGGAGCCAAAAGCTGACCCAACTCCTTGGCGCAGTCGTCGGTGTCGTTGACGTCGGCCAGAAGCACGTACTCCTTCGGATGCTTCTTGAGGAGCTCAGGATTTGTAGGGACCACAAGGGCCGAGGCATGCACCAAGTTCCCGAAAAGGGTAATTACCGGGGTAGCTGGATGAGGTGCCCCCGAACCGCAGAGCCCAATGTTGAGAGTCAGCTGCGCTTGACGGTTAAGATAGCGCCTGGTATGGGATCTTATCAGTTCCCGATACAGGAGATGTACTGAAAAAGTCTACGGACGCTCCCATAATGTTTCTCATGACTTTGCAATAAAGTTCGCAGCAAGTAGAGGCTCCAGGCTCCCAAGAACTCCCAAGAGACCCACTGTCCCTGAACTTTAGTCCCCAAGCATCTATCTGCGACATAAACCCGAAGCCCTTTCTAGGGTTTAGGGTTTAGGGTTTAGGATTTATAGGGTTTAGGGTATAGGAACTCTACTTGAGACTTCCGGAAGCCCGGTAGTGAACGTCGAAGGATTTTGGAATCCTCCGTCTTCGGAGAGGTTTAGGAGAACTCCGCTGATGCACGAAACCCTCCCTTACCCATAGCATAGCGAAGATACTGTACTCTTCGGCACTTTTGGCAAGCGCTGCTTTGCAAGATCTTATAACGGAACGAAGGGTTGAGTTCATCAGCAATGGCACCCAACCGGACATCCGCAAAACTCTTCAGCTGATCCCGGCGCATGGCTATGGTTGAGATCTTCTTCTCCTTCTTCTTCTTCTTGCTGTGGCTACTGTTGCTGTAGCGGGTTCCTTCTTGCTGCCCTCGTTAGTTGCTATGAGTGGCTGCAGACCAAAACCGTAAACCCGAAATCCAAACTACAACAACCTGGTGATTGCACGGAACCTCAAAACCTGAAGTCTGCAGGCAAGCGGCAATCATGGCACGTGCCGTCTTCCTCAGCCAGCGCTGTGCAAGTTTCAGGACGGGTGATGTAGGGCCTGATGAAAAGATGCCCTTTGGGATCCCCACAGATTGTGCGTCACTCTTAACATCGGGTCTCTGATGCGACCCCAATTTACATGACCCGGCCCGTGTGGATTCAGGCCGGCTCAACACATGCGCCGAGAGGCGTCTCTAAGTGCAGGTCCATGGCGGCCAAGAGCCTGAGTGAGATGTTTGCGTTTCGGTTTAGGATTTCGGGTTGAGGGCTTCGGGTTAGGGTCTAGTTGGACCCTATAAAACCTTCCATTCTAGGGTTCCCTATCATGTGGTTTCCTTGTAGAAGTCCCCAAAAAAGGCAGGTTGTTTGGGGTCTATAGCCTAGGATTCATTAGAACATAGGCACTAAGGCTTCCAGGAGCTCGGGCTTCAGGGCGTTTGAAGCTTTAGGGATTTGGGGTTTTAGGGATTTGGGGCTTTAAGGATTTCGGGGCTTTAAAGTTTGGGGTTTAGGGTTTTGGGCTTTGAGGATGTGGGGCTGGAGGATTTAAGTTCGGGCTTCAGGGGTGTAGAGAACCAGGTCTTGACAACCGTAACTGCTCGTCTCATGCTCTCAGTGTCTTTGCAAGGGATACGATAAGTCTACTGGCCATTAGGCTTCAGGGTTTACGGCCCTAGGGTTTAAGTTTCAGGATTTAAGGTTTGCAACCAAGCCCGAAACTCGACATGCAGCCCGAATCCCAAAAGCTTTAACCTTGAACCCCGCATCGCATCCCCAAGACCCTACAGCCGCCTTATAACGGTTAGAACAGGGCTTTGGGGTACGTTCTGGTATAGCTATATACGGACTCTAGGGCGACGTTGGTATACTGAAACCAACACCTTTTCAGACCGCTAGAACAAGTCCAAACCATCACTGCAGTACTACACGAAGTGCTCATGCCGGCATCACTGGTACCAGTTAGACTAATTATATAGGGGGACAAGCGTTCTGGAACCACTCCTGCTGGGTTTCTGCTGCGTTTTGACCGTTTCGTTGTCTGCACACTATATTGACATAGAATAAGGAACCCGGAAGCCCAATAATGGAAATCAAAGACTTATTGGACGCCCCCAGGAACCCTCCACCCGATTCCATTGCACAACTGTGGGGAATAGATCTACACATGGAACCGTGCTGCAGATCTTACCAACCACGTACAAGCACCTGCAAGTTCCAACTCCAAAGCCCGCAAAGCCCTATAAACCCCAAAAAGCCCTGCAGGGGTGACCCCACAGCTTCTTGAACCCAAACATCCTGATTTCCGAGCTACAAAACCCTAAGGCCCTAAACCGAACCATGGAACTCTTCCATGGGCACGTTCTTCGCTGAGGGGACGATCTTCTGGCGGAGTTCCTGTGCATCTTCCATCTTAAGATGGAGCGACCCCAATTCAGAGAACTAGCCATAATCCACTGGTTGATGAATGTGGGAGATTGGAGCCCCTGGGCAAACAACCTCATCATGCCCGCAGTGTAACGATCCTTTGACCCTTTGAAAACCCATGTCCGAGCGATAGCACAAGAAACAAGAAGCGACGACACCGCTACTCACAACAGTACGCCGAGACCCGAGACCCTCAACCAGCGAAATCTCAAACTTGAGACTTTTTGGGCCGTCCTCATTCGCACAAGAACTCTATAAACCCCCCAAAACCGAAAATGCTCGACTACACACAAAAAAGAATTGGAGCCCTGCAAACCCCTTGACATTCCACCAACTCGTTTAACGAAGCCTTACCCTAGGGCTCAAATGTCGAAACTCCTTCCATCCCCAACTTCGATCCCTTGGCCCAAGTACTGCCCTAAACCCTAAACCCCTAAACCCTAAACCCTAAAACCCTAAACCCTAAGTCCTAAACTCGCCACCTGCGTGGGCGCGTGGAGGGAGAGAGCGAGGCTGAGCCCCGGAAGGTCGCGCGCCAGCTGTCGCATTCTTGGCACCACTCCTATGGAGTGTTCTGTCAGGGCCGCCCACGGTTTAGGGTTTAGGGGTTTAGGGGTTTAGGGGTTTAGGGTTCAGGGTTTGATCAAGGCCGCTGTAAGGCGAAGAAGGCGTCTGTATCTAGGCCGAATTCTTCAGAAGTCTTACATTTAAGGCTTAGGGTTTCGGGTTTAGGGGTTTAGGGTAAGTCAGTAACCATATTATGAACAGATACCCAATATGGCTGTGACAACCCCTAAAAACTTGCAAAAGTCATTGGCCCTGTATCATCGGACTGCCATGCGGGTTTAGGGTCTACCTGATCTTGAGCGCTCACAAAACTGCATGTGTGATTTCCTTTAGTACATACTGTTGATGATATTAATCCTGCAATACCTTAAGGACCCTAAACTATGGGAATTCTGGTATATTCCTTATTATGGGTAATGCAGGATTTATATCATCAACCGTGTGTCCTTAAAAACCTGAGTTTTGGCCTGCGGGTGCAGATTATGGATGGTTAACGAGGCTTAGGGGATCTGAGGGGGTTAAAAGGAATTGGAGGTTGAGCGGTTTAGGGCACTTAGAGGTGTTTGCAGAGTCTATGGTGGTTTCATGAGGTTTCGGAGAGTTTGGAAGTTAAGGGGGTTCAAAGACATTTCCGATGCTGGGCGAGTTTACGCAATTGAAGGCGTCAAACAGATTCGGAGCGTTGATGGGGACTAGGGGACTGGGCGAATTCGTAGGATTTATTGGCTTTCGGAGTTTAAGAGATTTGCAGGGCTCAGGAGAGGCTTTTTCGGTTTGATGGGCTGGGGCTGTAACGCTGGAGGATCCAGATTTCAGGCGTAGGTCCTTCAGGGTTTAGGGTTGAAGACTCCTCTGCTCAGGCTTCCTCTTTAGCATAGTCGCCCTGCAGGTTCTGGCAAGCTTTTTGGGGGCCACAGCAGTTGGTGCAAGCACGGCGCGAACAAAAACGGAAATTCGTTGCCCAGGACGTGGCTCCTGCTGTGACGCGGTGCATCGCTTGCGCTCACATCCTCTTATTGCGCTGGATCCGCTGGAAACCGTCTGCCGGAGAGCCACACTCATTGCTTCGAAAACTGTGAGTCTCGACAATATGTGCGCTCCTGACAAAGGTTTAGTCTGCCTTGCTCCTTGCAGTGAGAGCGCTCCAGGGTTTCCCAACCCGAGCCGACCGGTTTGGGGTTGAGGGTTTGGGGTTCAGGGTAAAACTCGTCGCTTTTGGTAGTAAGGACCATGCAGGGTACACCAAGTTTGAGAACTGCCCGTTGTCCTTTGAACATGCTTTCCTGCTTCAAGCTGCTGTGCTAAGTGTAACATGCAGCAGAAGAATTGTCTGACCGAAAATGCGCTCCAGTGGTTCGAGCGGTAATTGCTGTCCTTGGGGCCTTTGACTTTGGGCTCCGTGCATTCAGGTGTGGAATTCGGGGCCCTAAACCCTAAACCCCTAAACCCTAAAGGGCTTACGGCAGCTTGCGACTTCGGCTTGAAAAATCGGTTCCCTGCCGGTTTAGGAACCTCTGCAGCACTTGTTTGAAACCGCAACCCAGCATGATTATTGTTAGTAACTATTAGTATTACCATTAGTATTATTGTCATTATCATTATTATTATTGTTATTGTTATTGTTATTATTATTATTAATAGTATTGTTATCATTATTATTATTGTTATTATGGTTATTATTACAAATGATCTTATGGTATGATTGTTAATACCATTATTGAGCTTTACTATGTGCATTATTGCTGTTATTAGTACTAGTAATTAGTAGCATTACCTCGCACGCTTGAAAGCCAGGGGTTGAGGAACTTAGGATACTATGAACCTTAAAAGGCGCTTTAAACCCAGGTCCCAGAGCCAACAAATGCTTATGAGCTCCTCTGAGCTATTACAGTTCCATACCAGAAATCAATACAACAATCAAATCCCTAAACCCTAAATCATCTTGTCCAGGCACCTACCGTCGAGATGGTCACCCGGCTCTGTGGCAAGGCAAAGCTTCCAAGCCTTCGCATCGGTTACGGAGAGAGAGCCAATTGGCGCTGCGCCTGCTTCTACTTCGGCTGCTTCTGCTACTGCCACTGGTAGTACTAACAGTGATTCTAATGGCTATAATACTAGCGCTAGCCAGAAGTCTCCAGGAGCCAACCTGCTTGTATTCTGCATCAAGGGCTTGGGTATGGGATTGCACTGTTTGGGGTTTATAGGGTCAGGCTCTTAGGGATCAGCAGCTGCACTGGTTCCTCAATCTTGAGGAAGCAATTTTTCTTGGTGCTGCGACTGCACTTGGCATCCTCACCACTACATGACCAACGTGACCGGTTACACCCTGCTCCCACATCACGAAAGTCGGAACCATGCAACAGCTAAAGCTTGATTCCTCCACGCCCGATACTGACAAACCCACCGTCATCCGAAGGTCAATAATTTAGGTTCACTCCTTCCTCGCCGACCGACATCCTAAACTGTACAAGAACCTGTGAATCCTGAACCCTTGCAGCCCAAACGGCCCCTTCACCCCCTGTTGGAGAGGGTCTTGCAACACTACTGGGTTTAGGTTTACTGTTTAGGCTCCAAAAGCCAGAGCCTAGCGCATTTAGCTCCAAGCCGTTGCAACTTGCGCAAGCCTTTTAATTTAAGCAATGGCCGTGCTGTAGACGAAGAAAGCGGCTTCTGTTACCTCCTCTGGAAGAGGTCCCAAGCTCCAAAGGCTAGAACCGAAAGTCAAGGCCTAAACTCCCTGGGTCCTAACACCCCAATCCGAAAGAGAACCTAATCTATAGGGGCCTTAGAGTAGGGCTTCGCGGGCACATTGCAGCATTGCTAGCAGCACAGCGGGCTAGAAGCGGATACTCTTAGAAAGTGTTGAAACCGTTGGTAGTAACCTGAACAGCCTGCCAACTTGCCCAGGTGCTGGCCGAGATCCGTCATAGTCTTCACAGCGGACAGCACGGAATCCTTACAGCATGTCAGAAATCGTGGTGGAGGCTTTCTGGTCCCTGGCCACAACTTGAGGGTTTATGGGTTTAGGAGTTTTTCGTATTTGTAGGGCTTTAGGGCTGAGAGACTTATGGTGTAAGTGTAGCTTCCGGAGCTTGAGGAGCATAATGGCCTTAAGTGGCTTATTGAACTCCGTGAGGGACGGCCCGGGGCTTATGGAACCTAGGCCCTAGAAGCTTTAGCAGTTTATCAGCAGCTGACAGGTTGGGAAGTAGCAAGATATGTTGAAAACCGTCGGGAAGCTCAGGATTTGTTGTCCATGGAAGTATCACCTCTGCTGGTCACGCTTCTCCCCCCAAGCTTCCTCAGTGCTTTTTTGGTGACCACATCAGGTGCACAAGGCGGCCATAAATCACGATTTCCCCCCCCCCCCCCCCGACACCACACGAGCCTCTGAGCCTCTGCCAGACGCGCATGATTTTTTGGCTCCGTGCGAAGATCCCTCTTATAGTTTGATCATATCTCAAGATTGCAATTTCTTGGAAGCTCTACAGTGCTGCATAACGGCGCAGGCACCTTCAACGCGAAAGCAAATAAGCCCTGAAAACCCGGCCCTCAGACCCCGCCGCCGCCCTATCAGGGCCCGCCTCAGGTGTGCTGAGTATACCCCTTAGAGCCTGCAGCGGTCACTGTTTGGTTTTGAAAGAGAACCAAGACTCCTTTTGAGTAGACTTCTGGCCTTCAATAG